TTAAAAGAAATCAAGAATAAATCCATCAAATGTTTGTCATCTTATGCTTTAGTGGTTAATGTTTCTGGCTAGTAATCTTGATATGGAGTAGGTGCAGAAATAAACCTGCAAGAGAGCGGCACTATTTAGTGTTATAGTTCCATACGCTGCAGATTTATGTAATAGTGAAATACCACACTGAAGAGGATATCAGAGAAGTGCTTCACGTTTAGAGGAGTTGTGGGTTGATCAGCTGCTTCTGCAAAAAAAAAATAGATTGCTTTGCACATATTTATAGTTTATTCTCATCCCTTCCTACCTATGTATTTCTATCTCGATAAATATTCTTTTTAGTTTAGGCTCAGGCCTTTTCTAAAAGAAGCATACTTTGAAATGCAAGTATGTCTATGTCTCCCTGGTATGATGTAATGTGCTCAGAATACATGACTTCAGTATAAAGGTGATTACTCTCACTAAAATTTTAGCATTGTTACTAAACAAATGTATAAAGGCTACATATTTTCTCATGCAGGTTTCAGCAAAAGATTATCGCATATCAAAACCTAATCACTCGGTCAATGTACGACAAACAGCTAGACAGTGGGAGAGGCACACTTTTGCACCTCTGTGACGATGTTATTCAACAGGAAGTCTGTATTACTTATAAAGTTTTATGTATGTTCATTTAAATTATTATATTTTTGACTCATCATTTCTTAAATTTGAACTTATAGGTCAAAGAGGTGATAGTTTCGTTCTTTGTTTTGATGAAGCAGGGAAACGCAACGATACAAGTACTATTTTAATGCTCACTCCAATCACTTTCTAATTCTTTTACCCTTATAATGCTTTTACCATATGTGTAGGAGCTTGATCTTCGGTGTGAAGAACTCATCAAACAGAAATTTGGCGATCAATGCAACTTCGAGGTGCTAGACGCAGTCCAAAAATTAGAAAAACTTGGAATTGTTTCTCTGGTGAGTTCTCTCCCTCTATAAAATATAAGGCGCTTTCAGTTGTAGCTTGAAACTGCCTGGTAAATGCCAATTTGACATTGTGAATCGCCGATATTTTATTTTTTTGGTGAATTTTTGCTATAGTGTTATTTTTAATTGCTAAAAAAATTACTATTGATGTGTTAAGGATATTATCAGCATTTGCGAATCATAAAGTGAACATCAAGTCATTTAGTGACGTTAAATGACCAAGATACTGAAATTGCCTTCATAAAATTTTCTCTTTTACATGTCGGTATCATCATTATCAAATTGTATAATCAAGCTTTTCCATTATACTAATTTTATTGTTTTGAACACTGATATTTCTGTTGTTTGTGAAGCTGCCTTCAAGGAGTTGTCTTTTATTTCCACGTCAGTACTAACATTTAACTTGCATAACAGTTCTTAACCGACAATTCTGAGGATAAAAATATATTGAATCATCACATCTTTGATTCCCTGGGTTCATATCTTCTTAAAGAATGAAAATGAACTATATGAGAATGCAAAGTTATTAAAAAATGATTCCATAAGGTTAAAAAGAAATGCAAATACGTCATCACAAATGAGATATGATGGACGATAATCTGAAGATTTGCATATAAGAGTCAGCATATTTCCTTCCCTGATGAACGACTGTTAGGAACTATATGTCTTTCAACAAGCATGAGATGAAGCTGTAGAATGAAAATGAACTTTCACTTTTGGAAACAAAAAAAAAAGTTTATGAAAATGTTATAATAGACTCTGTAGATAAAAAAGCCCAAATATATAGTGATTTTTTTTCCTTTTTGAGAAAATTAACCAAATATAGAAAAGGATTTGTTAAAGCACTATTATACATTGATGTTTTTCTTTTTGTTATCCTTTTATAAACTTGAAGTAATTTCCCCGGGGCATTATGAAAACTTCTTGCTAATAAAATATTCATGGGTAATAAGCGGCTAGCCCCTATACAACAATTTATCTTTCATATTTTCTGTTGGTGTGAACGCTAAAAGCTAATCTTTCTTTTCATATAATCCAGTGATGAGAAACACTTCAAACACTAAGACATGATTGTTTTCAGGATTCAACCGGACGAATCAGTTGCGTCCCTCTATCAGAAGCCAACGAGATCATAGGCACCACAACAGAAGAAGTGGTGATCAGAGCCAAACTCGGCGCCACTGCTGAAGCTGTCGACGGTTACCTTCTGCGGCATGCCACACCGGCTGCGCTGCCAGTCATGGAGGTGACCTTCGAGCGCTTTCGTCGAGGCGTAGCGAAAGCGGCCACTCGCAAAACGACTTGACTTGCACGCTGTCGTCGAGCAGTTCAAAGGGGACGGATGAGGTTGAGCTCAGCCTCGAAAAGAAGGGCGGCGTTTCAGTCAGTCTTGATAAGGAGGGTATCTCAGTCGAGCTTGATAAGAAGGGCGTTCCAGCGCGAAATGGAAGGAAGTTTCTCACACCTTCATCTAGTAGTACAAACGCGGCGGCTGCGACTGGGTTTTCGTCTAGTAGTCCTAAGGTGACGGATGAGATGGAGTTCGGCCTTAACAAGAAGGGGATTTCAATGCTTTTTGAGTTCAACAATGAAGTGTAGGCAGCATCACCGTACGCTAGAATGGACTGTCAACTTGGAGAAGCAATGACCTGTTTAGTTTGGGAAGTAGCATTAGTATTTCTCATATTCTATATTTTCTATTTTTCTAATCAATAAATTCCTCCGTTTGGGAAGTAGCATTAGCTTGATTTCTAGGAATTCAGCAATTAAGGTATAATTTCTGCCATTTTATGAAGTTTTTTGCCATTTCTGCTGAATTTTTAAGGGGTTTTCTTAACTTCATCATGTCTTAGCAATTTGATGGGAAATTTTTTGTATATGACAGTTAGGAAAGCAGATTTGATGGGTAGAGATTGAATATCTATGGTGTCTTTCTCAAGTTTTTCTTTTACTTTTCAACTAGAATATATTTTTCACCCTCATGCAAGCCCTACCCTCTAATTGTTTGAATAATCATGCTGTCTTATTTAAACGTTTCCTACAATAGATCCTTCAGATTATCATTAGTACTTATGTGAAATATGTATTAGGTATCTTTGTTATCGTAGTGATATAAGTATTGAACTATTATCTACACATTATTAATGTTTCCCTGCTCTTTATGAATCACGTATAATTTTTTTTCTCTCTCAGGGACAAGTTTTAAAAACGTGTTAATATTAGCCCTAGTTTCTTTGTGGGTTAATTTATGCAGGCATGACCAATGCACCTCATAGTGATGTGTTTATGTATGGAAGAATTAAAAAAAAAGACTATTGTTGAAAAATAATAAGCAAAACCGACCCTTTTAGGAAAATATTAGCAAAGTCGATCTCTTTTTTGGCCAAGTGGCCAAAAAGAGGTCGATTTTGCAAATTATTGATTTTAAAATACACGGTATTTGTAGTTCCGTGTAATTAATGGTCACTAATTACGGTTAATATGAAATGGTCATCCCGTGTACTTTGTGCTAAAATGCTTAAGGTTTAACTAATGAGAACTAAATACACGTGACTCCTAAATCCCTTGTATTTTAAAGCTGAATTTTTCCAAAACCGATATCTTTTTTAAAAAAGGGGGCGTTTTTGCTAATAATTTTACAAAATGGTCGATTTTGCTAATTATTTTTAAAAAAGGGCTTTTAAAAATATCCTCTTATATATGGCTCAATGCTTATAGTCGTTTTAAATGCTTTAATATTTCTTTTGGTAAGATTACCACCCACAATGGCCATAAAAAAATTTGTCTTAAGTGAGAGGTAAATTTATGATGTTGACCATATATATTTTTTCCTACAAACTGTAATACCAACCAAACACGAGAAAAGTGGAAAAAGTCTAATCAATCAAAAGTTTTCCCTTTTTTCATACCAATCAAAGAAAGAAAAATTGTGTAAATTGATTTCCCACCATGTTTTATGTGTGAACCAAACACCAACAACCAATTTCATGGAAAACTTTGGAAAACCCAAAAAATGGATTTTTCACATGGAATCATATTTCTCAATAAAATGGGAAATGAACCAAATAGCCCCTAAAATGATATTTTGTCATTATGACATGACTAATAGTCGTCGGTATAAGTGTTGGAAATGAAGAAATTACAGAAACTCAGAAGAATCAGTCAAACCAGGCGGCGGTCGACCGGTCCGGTCGACCGCATTCGTGCACAAGGCTTCCTGTGCGTCTGGAAGGAGGTCGGTCGACCGACCCGGTCGACCGCAGATGATTCGGTCGACCGGTGCGGTCGACCGACGGTCTCTCTGGATTTTTGGGGCTTCTGCTGGATGGTGATCGGTCGACCGGGCCGGTCGACCGGAATTGATCGCGGTCGACCGGGCCGGTCGACCGACGAAGCGGATATCAGTTTTTCCAGGTTTTCGACCCGGTTCGTTTTGTAAGTTCTATATATACCTAAACATGTTTGTTTAGGGTTGAGGTGGGACGAATTTGAGCAGCCAAAGAGAGAGAATCATTGCATCCAATTGTAGGAGAGCTTTGAGAGATCAAGTGTTTTGTTTTAGGGTTTGGTCTGAGAGATTTGTAACCCTATTTGTATTCCCTTGATTTCTAGTAGTAAAATCTCCCCCCTCCTTGCCCCGTGGACGTAGGCAACTTGCCGAACCACGTAAATTGTGTGTTCTTGCTGTGATTGTGGTTTGCATATTGTTTGTGGTTTAGTTCAAGTTATTGTTCGTGTTGCTCTAGAAAGCTTCCGCTGCGCACAACAGGAAATTGATCAGAAATTCAACCTTTCATGGTCCTGCCTTATTATGCTAATGGTTTTTTTGATAGCGTCAGAATTCATCAGGACAGCGTGCGGTGACCGTACACTCTCCGCGCTCAGGCGCTTGTAGCTGCCCCTGCTTCGCTACTCCTGCTGCTGCCCTGCCGTTTGCTGATGCTCCAATTTGAGCCATCTCAACAGTAAGTTTGTATAACATGACATGTTTTGCAATTTTTCTTGATATTTAATTCTGTAACTATTCTCTCAATTTCTCTTACAATATTTTTTTCACAATAATTTCGTGACATGCGATATTTTTCTACACGTTTGAAAATTTTGTGAGTTTTTTTTCTTCTAATTAATATAACCTGTGATATTTTTTATGTAAAGTGGTTAACATCTAATGGCAGTATTGTGAAATGTACCCATGGACCGCAGTGATTTTAGCTGTCTGTGACTCAAAATACTTGAACCAAGTAATTGGAAGTGTTTTCTTTATGAAATTGGTGGAAGTGTTAATTTTTTAGGGTTTAAGATTATTCGTAACCTCCCTCATTAAGCTGGTTTTTATTAGATTGTTTGTAACCACTTAACTATTCATTGACCTTAATTATATGACATATATCAATGATATATCGGCTATGTTTGTTAAATTTTGAGGTTTCACATCAGATGATTGTTTTTTTAATTATCTCTTTTCATGTTTAAATCCTGAAATTATTAAAAAAGTTACTAATTTTCTTAAGTGCATAATGGTAGTACTAAACATATTGTCTACAACTCCTAATTATGTACTTTTATCTCTTGCCCCAAAGTTAAACATAACATTCATAGTAAATATGAGAGAGAGAGAGAGAGAGAGAGAGAGATTTAGATGGTAAGAAATTAAGTTGGTAAGAAGTTAATAAAACTTGGCTCCGTATTCTTGAAGTTGAGAATATGGATGACTATGTACAGAGAGAGAGAGAGAGAGGGAGAGACATAGATGGTAAGAAATTATGTTGGTAAGAAGTTAATAAAACTTTGTTGCGTATTTTAGTTGTTGAGAATATTGATGACTATGGACAACTAGGGGTGACAATTTCTGACCCGACCCACTGATTCGACCCTATCCGATCTGTTATAAGTGGGTATATGCTATTTTATACGGATCGGGTTATAATCGTGTCGACCCAAAAAATCCATTTATTAATTGGTCATAAATGGATGAACCTGCCAACCCGTTTAACTTTAACCCATATATCATTCAACCCTTAAGATTCAAAATTCTTAAAAACATACCCATAAAATATCAATACTTATAAACACTAAAAATTTATAAATTACATACAACGCTATGAAAATTTTAAAACTTACAGAAAATACCCTTAGAGGTTCGAAAATTAAAAAATATCCTCAAAAGTTTAAAATTTACCAAAAACCAATCAAACCATATAAATCAGTACAAAAATCTACAAATTATAAACAACATCATGCAAATTTTAATATTCACAAAAAACACCCTAAAATTTGCAAATTTGTGATATTCACCCACAAAACATTAAATTTATGAAAACATACCGCATAAATATGAAAACCTACAAACAATACAAAATCTAATACTTATATACGGTATCATGAAAATTTGAAATTTGAAAAAAACACCTTGGTAGTTTCAAAAGTTGCAAAAAAAACCCTAAATAAGTCAAATTTTAGAAAAACACACCCCAAAAAAATTAAAACTGCAATAACTACACAATGTATAACTTATAAATAGAACCAAGAAAATTTTAAATTTCTAAGAAACACCCTAATAGTTTTAAAATTTGCAAAAAACCAAATAAGTCAAATTTTTGAAAAACTAAAAAAAATTGAAACTTTCAAACAGTGAAAATTTTATAATTTGTAAATTACAAAAACTTGCTGAAAGTTTTGAGTTTTGCAAAAAAACCTAAATGTATGAAAAATTACAAAATACATGCTCAAAAGTCAAACTTTTACAAAAACACACCACTAGAAATATCAGAACTTACAAAAAGTACAAATCTATAAGTTATAAGCAGCTCCATGCAATATTAAAAATTTGCATGAAAACACCCTAAAAGCTTAGAAAATTACAAGATACACCCTCAAAAAGTCAAACGAGTACAGAAACATGCCCCAAGAATAATAATATTTACAAATAGTGCAAAATCTGTAAGTTATAAAAGGCACGTTCAAAAATTTAAAATTTGTAAAAAACACCCTAAAGTTTTAAAAATTACAAAATACACCCTAAAAGTCAAATTTTATAGAAACGCACCACATAAATATAAAAAGCTATAATAATACAAAATCTATAACTTATAAATAGCAACATGAAAATTTTAAATTTACAAAAAGCATCCTAAAAGTTTCAAAATTTTAAAATGCACCTAAAAAGCTAAATTTTACAGAAATACATGCCAGAGATATGAAACGTTACAAACAGTTCTTACAAACAGCAACACGACATTTTGGTATTTGCAAAAAACACCCTAAAAGCTTCAAAATTACAAAAAATACCCTAAAAATTCAAATTTTATAAAAAAGCCTGACAAGTCAAACTCGCAAAGCATATAAAGTTTATAAATTAGAAAAAGTCCACTGAGAAAATAGGATTTGTAGAAAACAACCTAAATAAGCCAAATTTAATAGAAATACATGCCAGAGATGTGAGAAGTTACAAATAGTGCTTATAAACAGTATCATCGACATTTTGATATTTGCAAAAAACACCCTAAAAGCTTCAAAAATTACAAAAAACACCCTAAATTTCAAAATTGATAAAAAATCCTGAAAATTCAAACTTACAAAGCATATAAAGTCTATAAATTAGAAAAATGCAATTGAGAAAATAGTATTTGAAAACACCATAAAGCTATTAAAATTTATAAAAAAACCCTCAATATTCAAATTTTACATAAAAAACCCTAAAAATATCTAAACTTCTAAACAACATAAAACCTATGAATGATAAATTTGACCAGGGATGTTAAATGGGTGGGTATGGGTCATAACCGGGCAGGCCATAAATGGGTGGGTCTATTTTGTTCATTTGCTCATTTATGGCCCATTAAGCAATTACTAAATGGGCGGAGTTTTGCCCCTCCATTTAATAAGTGGGCTGTCGTCCATTTACCCATTTTACTATAATA